TGGTTGCAGTCAGGATGGCCGAGCGGTCTAAGGCGCTGCGTTCAGGTCGCAGTCTCCCCTGGAGGCGTGGGTTCGAATCCCACTTCTGACAGCTGAGGTTTTCCAGCATCCACCACTATGTTTGGAAACTCGCAACTTGATGTAAGCGTCTAGCCTTCTTGTAGACATCGTACCTCTGTGGTAGAGTTACTGGATCAAGCCCTCATTAAAAATACTGGTGCATTTCTCTACTGTCTGTGAATACAACATTAGTTAGCCACAGTATGATCCCTTCATTTTAGCAATCTGGACGTTAAAGCAAGTGGTAGAGGAGTTCCAAAAAACATTCACACCTTGAGCCCTGAGTTGATGATGGACAGAAAGTCATGTGAGTTGGGGGTGACCATGTATATCTGGGACTCCCCATCAAAATGAGTGAACATCATCCGTTCATGAGACACGCTTAGACTACTTGTATAGTCTTAACTTGATGACCTTTGTGAGTCTCTGCCGCTCTTCACACATTACATCTTTGCTAGGTTAGCTGGAGAAACTCACAATGCTGCTGAGCATTCCTACTGTCTGTGAATGCATCAGTGGTTAGGTACAGTGTCCTTGCCTTTTTACTTGTTTTCACACTGTTGTTTGTTGTTTGCTAAGACACCCAGACGCCGTGTGTGCTGGAGAAACTATACACATCTGAAACTCTACAACAGTCAAGTTTCTTGACTGATGATAAAAGCTCTTCAAGAACTTAAAAGAAGTGCAGTTGATTTTGACTGAACCGCCTAGGATTAAAAAGACCCAGATAACTGAGAACCTGCAGGGTCAATTGTAGTCAGGATGGCCGAGCGGTCTAAGGCGCTGCGTTCAGGTCGCAGTCTCCCCTGTTTTGAATCCCACTTCTGACAGCTGCTGTTTTCCAACTTCCATGATTATATTTGGAAACTTGCAACTTGATATTGGTCCTGGGTAGCTGTTGACCAATTTGAGTCTGGCCTTCCCCAGTGTGGAGGACCCCCCCTAAGGAAACACTGGAGATAAAACTAAAAACTTCAAGAATATGTCTTTGGTAGGTTAACTGGAGAAACTTGTTTTTTTAAAATGCAGCTTCTTCTCTCTCTACTGTCTGTGAACGCATCAGTAATTCGATATAGATTACTGCCTTTGTGTATGGGGATGTTGCACAATCCTGCCTTTTACTCATTTCATAACTGAGTTGTGTTTTCCCCCTCAAAATCAGGTCCCACCGAGATTTGAACTCGGATCGCTGGATTCAGAGTCCAGAGTGCTAACCATTACACCATGGAACCACCGCATTGTGCCATCCTGGAGGTGTGGGTTCGAATCCCACTACTGGCCAACAACAGGTAAGGTACAGAGCATAGACTGTATAAAAGATGGACGTAGCAAGCAGCCCTGAAAAATGAAGCCAACCTGGAAGTGTCAAAAAACCTGCAATATCACTACGTGCACAAGCTGCTGGCTCCAAAAAGCCCTGGCTCCCATAGAAATGAATTGGAAAAGAAGTGATCACAGATCACGAGATACTGCATTCCTACAGCTCAGGATTTTTTTCTTATTAGTTTTCATAGTCAAATCCAGAGATCAGGTGGCCAATCTGAAAATAAATCAATACTGAATTTTGAAAAAATTGTCAACATTTTGCGGGGCAAGGGGCGTGGCTGGCTTGATTGACAGGAAGCGAGCAGAAGGCGGTAAATGTGGGCGGGCAGAGAGGTCCATCTGACCAATCGCTGTTCCTATGAAAATCCTGGTAACTGACTTGATAAACTTCATGAGCTTCTCCTTCCCTGTGAATACACTGACTGATTACCTACATTACACTAGTTTTGTTGATTACAATGTTGCTTAATCCTGTGTTTTACATATTTTTGTTTTATTCTGCATCCTACCTGAACCTCGTCTCAAAATCAGGTCCCACCGAGATTTGAACTCGGATCGCTGGATTCAGAGTCCAGAGTGCTAACCATTACACCATGGAACCTCTACATGGGGCCAACCTGGAGGCGTGGGTTCGAATCCCACATGTGACAATAGACATCTTCATTGACGTGTGACTGATAACACTTACTGGCCTCTGTGACACATCTGAAGTACACTAATAGAAAATAAGACACCAAGGCTGCCTACCAATGTCCAGACTGTATTTCCATATAGAATGGCAGAAAATGACTTGATATGTCAGATGTAGTTTGAAAAACACCAGAATGTTCACCAAATGTCCCTTTGTGAAGGAATACAGTTTGTGTTTGACACAAAAACCATCTGTCTTTCTGCACATAGAAAAGCTTGTCATTCAAAACACTGCTGCATATTCCTACTGTCTGTAAATGCGGCGGTAACGAGGCCCCAGCATGCTCTAGCTCTGCGTGGTCACCTGGGGTTGCTGATGTCTCAGTTGAATGAATGAATCTTAGCTGGTATTTACAACTACACATGTTTTTTCACTTTTGCCTGCACTTTTTGCTCCAAATCAGGTCCTGCCAAGGTTTGCTGGATTCAGAGTGGTAACCATCACACCATGGACCCCCTACACAGGGTTTCCTGCACTCCATTTGTTTGGATTCCATTTCTGACAGCTGGAGTTTTTAGTTCCTGATTCTTTCATTATATTTAGAAACTTGTACCCTGGTAAGTCCTGGGCAACTAATGACTACTTTGGTGATCTCGGTGCATCACTGCCTTTCTGCACAAACACTTCCTCTGTTGTAAATTTGCTGTTAAGCATGTTCAAAATGCTGCAGCATTTCAGGACAGGATGGGTGTGTAGCTGTCATATGCTGCCTTTTTTTGTGATCATTATGTTGGACAATCCTGCGTTACACTCATTTGAAAGAATGGTTAATAAACATGTAAGTGCTTTTTTCCCTTGACTCCTGTTAAAATCAGGTCCCACCGAGATTTGAACTCGGATCGCTGGATTCAGAGTCCAGAGTGCTAACCATTACACCATGGAACCACCGTATACTGCTACTTTAGAGGCGTGGGTTCGAATCCCACTTCTGGCAATACACGTTGTTACCAACTGATGGCCACTAGAGGGCTGTCTGTCTGTCCCAATCAAATTATGTTTACAGAAAACATAATTAGGTTGATACACATTCCATTATGCATGTTTTGAATTTTCGTCTGGTGCCATACATTTAGTGGTTGGCTTTACATAAATAATGTAGTTGTGTATTGATGTATAAACTTCAGAATGCATTAAATTATTTTCATGCATTTATAAACTTTTAAACTTGTAAATACATGAAGTTTTTTCTTTCTTTATATAAAAAACAGGAATTTAAATGAACATAAACGACATTCAGGGTTCACCTTTTATCATATAAACGCTCAAATCTCCTCAAACTCCATTGTTTATGCTGGGAGTGACGTAGCTCCACCTGATTGGTCGCTCTCCTCCGGGGGGCTCGCCAGGTGAGAGGGCGCGTGGCCACTTAAACTGGAGGCGGGGCTTCTCAGCTGTCGGTGATTGAGCACGTGAAGGCGCAGAGGGAGCCGAGCTCTGCGGGTCGTCGCTGCTCCACAGTTTGCTGCGCGTCGGACAGAAGTTTAAACGTTTCTGTGAAGATGTTTGACTTGAAGAAGAGAAACAGTTTGACGCTGAAAGGCGGCAGAGAGTCGGAGGAGTTCAGGAGGGTGGCGGTCAGACGCAAAGTCCGAGGAGCTGTGGGGGACTGCGACGGCTCAGGTGAGGAGGGACACACCTTTACCTTCTGCTGTAGTCTCTGGTAGACATGTGTAAAGGTTGTTTTGTAGAATTAACTGCACAATATTGCAGACATGACTCTGAGCTGCTGTCAGCACTGGTCCTAGTAGAAATATTTCACTCTGGTGCAACAACAACGCATTTAAAACTGTGCATTGATGTTATTTTGTGCATGTAAAACACATTTTGCAGTATCACTTATATTCCACATATAGAAGAGTCTGTGCAATATCAGTAGAATCTGTACAATAATCAATAGATGCTGTGCAAAAATCAATCTGTGCAATATTAATAGAATCTCTGCAATAATCGATAGATGCTGTGCAAAAATCAATATAATCTGTGCAATATCAATGTGTGCAATATCAGCAAAATATGTGCAATATCAGTAGAATCTGTGAAATAGCGTTAGAATTTGGGAAATATTAATAGAATCTGTGCAGCATCAATAGAATGTATGCAATAATCAAAATAATTTGTGCAATAATCCATCGAATATGTGCAATAGTCAATATATGCTGCACAATAATTGATAGAATCTGTGCAATATCAATATAATTTGTGCAATAATCAATAGACTCTGTGCAATATCAGTGAGTGATTGAGTGCAGTCACATCATTAAACGCGTTATGACCTTACAGTAGTTGCATTATTTCTAAGCTGAACTGTTGTAACTCACTGTAAGAAAAGTCAATACACCTTTCAAATATTTTTTTTTTCTACACTTGTCTGATGACTACGAAGGTGTTCTGTTGGATTATTTCTCCTCTGATTAACTCCTGCAGACCGGCAGTGGTCAGCCAGTGTTTTGGTTTATCCGCAGACAGTCATAGTGCATCTATAGATGTCGTCCACTCAGCACCTGTTGCACACCTCCAGCTCTGTGCTTCACTGTCAGGACCCTGCATTCACTGTGGTTCACATCAAACATGCAGGATCTCATCTGAGCCAGAAAGAATGTGCTGCCGGTATTCATGAGGCTTTTTTTTTCATGCATCTGAGTAAAGATTCTTGCAACTTGCTCCGAACAGCAAGCAAGGGTGTTTATCGAGGACACTGCCTATAACAGTCGACATAATAAACTGTCACAGGAACTCTGGTTTCCATTGTTAACGCCTGTGCCAAGTCCGAAGCAGCGTCTGTTTGTCTTGCAGAGCTGGATTGTGAAAGCAGTCGACTGTCAACTTTAGGAGCAGCTCAGATTAGTGGTACTATTGTTCATTCTGTACTTCCTGATTACTGCTGCAACTGTGTCTGCTGGTTTGTGGCGGAGTTTCCTGTATCCTCTCCCATCTTTGTGAAGTCTCACAATCAGGTGTCTTCTGGCAGTTCTTTTCCACGTGGAGCCACGATGCAGACATGCACATAGACGTAGCTCATATAGGTGCAAAACTGAGACAGTTCTGGTGTTCAAAGCTCATTTTATAACCATGTTCATGCAGTTATAGCAACTGGAAATCACAGTTTTACTCAGTTTTGTTGGTGATGAAAGGTTTGGGGCCTGTATTTTTAATATAGTCTTTACTAGAGAGTTTAAGTTTGGTTTCGTACAAGACAAAATAATGCAGCTGTTAAGAGGTGACACTATAAAATCATTTAGCTTGCAGAGGATCATCCTCCCTTCTTTTGTGTATTGTATATTCAGCTGCATGGACACTAAACTGGGCAGGAAGCTGTCTTGGACCCATAGTGGCTAAATTTTGGTAGCTGGTGTTTGAATGTTTTGACAAATGCTCAAAAATGTCTCAAAAATCTCGGTGTTGATTTTGGCTCTTTGGCTCAAGCTGCCCTGTAAGCCGGCGACCGGGGCAGCGGTTAAGAGCATTAACCCTCCGTGTTGTGCGTGGCTTACCGCCGCAAATGCTATTTTAGTTTCCTTGTCAGCTCGTGAACACAAAGCCCTTGTGCTGGTGTGAGCGTGTGCATGCATTATTTTTTTAGGAGCTTGTTGGATTACTGCGGTGAAATCTCTTCCCCCTGATTCAGCCTGGACTTTGACGCCTTGAGACCACCGTTTGTCAAACCCTCCAACACACACACACAAAGCCTCAGTGTTCGTCCACTGCAGCAGAACCGCGCGTTTAGAAGAACGTTTGCTCCGATTGTACCGTCAGACGCAGCGTGTACCATCAGTACTCTGATCTGTTTCATGCACAGTGTTCTTTAGCTCGTTATGAGGTCGTTTAAACAAGTTTTCCTGCAAGACGGATGCTGAAACTTGGAGATAAATGCATCTCAAATCTTCAGTATAGCATATAATCCCCATGTCATGCACACTGGATCCAGTTAGGAAAATACTTTGGAGGATAAGTGTAGTAAAACCCCAGCTGCTGATTATTTCTCAAGGCCAGTGGGGGGAGAAAAAAATCAATGCAGGAGATGTAAAGTAGTGGGAAATGTGCCAATGCTGGATGTAATGAAAACAAAACGAGGTAAATTCCTCCCTTTCAGAGCTCAATATATTTAATTAGCCACTCTTAGCAACATGTATTCAGTTTATTAATTGTTTGATTCTGTTTTTTTTTGTGAGAAACATTTCCTACTTTCTGAGATATGTAATGTGATCCTTTAACCACCTTAAGCAGCTTACAAGACTCGAAAAACCAGTCTGTGGGCTGATAATTTTTCAGCTTCAGGAATGCACATCAGGCTTAAAAAATGTTTCCGCCTGACACAAAAGAAAACTCTCACTGTTCTCATTTTTCCAAGACTAATCTGCAAGAGAAGTTTACGGGTTAACGAAGGTTTGCAAACTTAATTACCAAGACGGAGAGTTGCAGCTTCCACGCTGAGCGAGAAACGCCGAAAAGGAAGATTTGGTTGCAGAAAGAAACACTAATTGCATGCAAATATAACAAAAAACAACTATTCCAGATGCCTTTTCCTTTTTTTTTGCACCATATGAGAAAGATGTTTTTTTTTTCTTATTTTTGATGCACTCGTCTGCTAAATCACAAAATGAATAATTCTTTCCAAATCGAGTCCTTTAAGTCCTCTGCTGAAATTTACACTAGTTTTTTTTTTCATATCCTAGAAAGA